GTTAAAACATTTCTTATTTTTCGCACTTACCTTAGACCTACATTTGCCACCAATGCCAAATAATGACCACCAGTAAAGTATGAACATAATTCACATAGAATAGTCTAGTAAACTTTCGTAAGGCCACATGCAATTCTAATAATGTAGAAAAATTGACAGCAAATTCACAAAGAATTTAAGGTAAATAATTCCTAGGTCTAGCAATAGGCAATGGTTACCCCTTAATGGTAACCCCAAACCGAATGCCACCCCACACGATGACCTCTAATGCAAAAAATAAATTACTCTACACATTTATTTCAACTGCAATAATAAAAAGCAAAGAATACGATATCGAGCGGACCACGTTTGAATGTCCATAAATATCAAGAGACGTGAATTCACCACTTCAGGACTATCACTCTTCATCATAAAGTCAACAGCAATCACAGCAACATGAAAACAGCACCCGACACTAGAACTCCCAAGGGTAAAATCGTCTAGCTTTTACTGCATTGCTCAAAACTGAAATTTACAACATTGCAGGGTCCGTATCGTCACCAACAACATTCTGTCTAAAGACACCATCGCTAGATTCCTGCTTATGTGCCCACATGCGCCTCGCCAGAGTTACCACACGCCGGCGTTGGACGGCCATGCGCCGGCTACCTGTCATCCTTTCAGCTTCTTCTCCACCTGCACAATCCACCGGTAGTATTCGTTTTGCCAAACTCCTTTTGGTTTCACCAGAAAAATGCCAAAACAGATCCAGTAGAAAATTTAAAAAACCAAACAGTTTCTGCCTCTGATTTTTAGATCCATTTCTAACCACTTCCAGCCCGTTTTTAGCCCCAAAAATCACAGATTTATCAGCAACACAAACTCTGATACCATTTGTAGCGGAAATCCCTTCATAAATCTTGATTCCGGGCTCATAAAACATCCAAATAAACACCAGTTTACCTCGACTCGACCCAAGACTTTCAGCGTCACTTTGGACTACCCAAACTCTCTCAAACCCCACAAAGGAGAAGGGTGGTGGTGTTAGCAATCCACAAAGGTATGGAGTGGAAGAAGAAGATGTCACAATGGTTGAATCTCACTTACAACCTCACATGTGATACCATTTGTAGCAGAAATCCCTCTATAAATCTTGATTCCGGGCTCATAAAACAACCAAACAAATACCAATTTACCTCGGCTTGACCCAAGACTTTCAGCTTCACTTTGGACTGCCCAAACTCTCTCAAACTCCACAAAGGAGAAGTGTGGTGGTATTAGCAATCCACAAAGGTATGAAGAGGAAGAAGAAGATGTCACAATGGTTGAATCTCACTAACAACCTCACATGGCTTTCCTCTCTTTCGGTTGCCTCTCATCTCTCAACTTTCCTCTCCATTGCTACAACACACACACACCACCAAAAATGGCTAAGAGATAAATACATATATATAGATTAGTTTAGGTCACTCCAATTGGGCCTAGGGTTCACTAAAAGAGCTACCAATTAACCTAAACTAATGGGCCAATATTCAACTCCATATTAATCACTAAATGGTCCAACTAACCAAATAATCATCCAACCCAAACCTGAGTCATCCAAAAGTGTAGTTCGTCTCCGAGCCAACCCAAGTCCATGGTGCCGATAAATAATCCGACAATTGTTTTAAATCATTGCCCGGATTATTGGGTATCAAAAAATCCAATAAGTTTTGTTGTTATTGTCGCTATATACTCGAAAGGAGAATAAAGTGGCCCATGAGATAACCTCTTTTGTGATTTTGGTCCATACGTTAGCTCTTTGACTGTGATTATATCCACCAATTTTTATCACCAACTGTTTGCAGTGATTTAAGTTAGTGCAATTCTCCTCGGGGAATCACTATTTCAAGAGCGAATTATAAGAAAATGAAATTTAGTAACCTCTGAAAATAGTGAGTAGAGAGAAAATGTCCGCTTCTTAATTGATATTTTCCGTAATATATATCTAATGATCTTGAACTTTAATTAAATGTTGAGTGCCTGCGATCTCTTTAACCATTTAATATTGTAATAAAAAACCTTGTTTGAGCACAATTTTTTGGTGGTTCTTCTACGTTGATGTATAATATGACAAAAACGTGGTTATTTAGGATAAATAAATTAATGAGCAACAAACCAAGATCATTACGATTCTTTCAACAAGATAAATGTTCTTGAGAAAATATACAAATATATATACTAGTACCTCATATGTTGACAGCTCTCTACAAATCTATATATATATTATTTAACCTTCTTAAAAAATATAATTAAAATCATAAAGAAAATTTGCATTGTAACTTAACTTTTAAAATTGACTTATAGAAGTAGATTGTCAAAATCATCATAAACCCCCAACTTGTTCAAAGAAAAAAAAAAAAAGGAGGAGGGAAAACAGCGAACCGCCAGCCGATCTATATAATCAGCAATTGCCAACGCCAATGATTATTGAATCAGCATTCTCAACACGGTCAACTTATATTAGGTCAGCTATATATCCTACTTTCTTTAAAATATTCATTTTGGTATATTTTTCTTATATGATAATTTATTATATTTGTTTTTAGATTTTTTAAGTTAATAACCTCCAGATATCACTAGTTCAAGTGCGTATTTATAAGAAAATGAAAATTTGAAATCTAATTTTTTCCTCAGGGAATCACTAGCCGAGAGAAAATGTCCGCCCCTTAATTGATTTTTCTGTAATAATATATCCAATGATCTTGAACTTTTATTATAAGTTGAGTGCCCACAATTTCTTTTACCATTTAATATTATAATAAATAGATGAGGCAAAAACGTAATTATCTAGCATAAATAAATTAGTGAGCAATAGACATAGATTATTACGAATCTTACAACCAGTTAAAATGTTTGTGGGAAAATAATAATAATAAAAATATTAGTACCTCAAATGATGACATTTTGTTTATGGACATTTTCCAGAAAAATATTTATAAGTAACCTTCAAAATCAACTTATAAAAGTAAATTGTCAAAATCTTCAAAAACCCCCAAGTCAAGCATTATTTAAAAAATTACAAGTCATAAGATATTTATAATTTACCATTTTTTCTCTCAGTATTTAGTTGGGTGACTTCACGAAGTTAATCTTGTACTCAATGTAGCCATCAAGAGGTCATCTTACTTGACGATTGTAATTCTTAAAAGATGACTACCCTGATACTAATTTATACCACTACATTATTCCTTTGCTATATAAACAATGGAGTGTTTTTAGATATTAATTAATAAATTTAATATTGAATTTATTTGTAGATATTAATCAAGAAATTTAATATTGACTTAGTCATGCCAAATACAATACAAAAAATATAGAAGAAGGGGAGAGAAGAAGAAAAATGAAGAGGTAAAATAATAAGAAGATGGAGAGGATAGAGAGAAACTGGGGCAGGAATTCAATTAATTTCATTATCAAAGGTTGTCTTATTACATTGCAGAAGATCCCTTCATATGAGATTTTAAATATTCTATTCTTTGAAAAAAAAATCTAATAAAAGCTATTAAATCAAACATAATTAAGTTTCCTAAAATATGCATCAAAATAGAAAACTAAATATAATAATATCTCTTCTAAAACTCCATCACTTAGCCATTTAAGACCTAATTAAAATCATTACAATGCATTAAAATTTCGTTGAAGCTTGTTAAGATTTAGTTTAATATTTGAAGATTCTAAATTATTTCCATATATTCTATTTCTGTCGTAATTCCATGGAATTAGGAATAAGTTGATTTGTTTCCTTTTGTACTCTTGAGACTTAGGAAGCTTTGCAAGTATATAAACTGATGTAAATTTCCTGTGTACTGCTATATACAAGAAATACAGAGAATTTATTCTGCCTTTTTCAATACAGAAAATATATTCACACTTTTTCAAAGCTTTCCGCACCTTTATAAAGTATGATACATGCGGTTTTGACCAGTGCAGCAGTTTATATTAGTTTAAACCCCATGCATACGTAATTAGCTTTGCTCAGGGCTATAAATATATACCCTAAGTACACAAGTTTTATCAAAAAGCAAAGCTAGAAAATTTCTTAACAGTGCTCTTGAATCTTCTTTAGTTAGTTTCCAAACACAGGCATTTATATACAAATATTATGAAGAGTGCTTCATCCCCAGTTCAGTTACAACCCCCTACTTATGGAAATCTGATCACAATTCTGAGCATTGATGGGGGTGGTATTAGAGGAATCATTCCTGCCACTATCCTTGAATGTCTTGAATCTCAACTTCAGGTAATTCACATTTAAATAGCTATGTTCCTATTTTTATTTTTCGAAAAAACAAATGAAGCAGAAGAAAAGTATAACTCTGCCATTTTATTCAAAAGCTCAAATTGTTAGGGAAGAGACCCATTTATTTATTTGAAAATTCTCTTCAACACATCCAACCTTGGGTAGGTCCAGTTTCATTTTTTCTTCAAAATCTTGACTAGTGGATAATTTTAACAAATAGTTAGCAGTTAAATTTTAACACAATGTCTTCAGTTACCCTAATGCTACTTTATCGTTGTTAGAGAGCACAAAATAGACCTCTCTTTTTTTCTTTTTTTTTTTTTTTGGGGGACCTTAATAATATTTTATCATTGTGAGATAGCAAAAGCATATGTTTCTTTCAAAAAATATTTAATTAGTTCCATCGTGTTTTTGTCGAAAACATGGTAATTTTATTGTTTAAGTGATAGTCGTAGCTCAAATAAAAGTTTAAATTATTTATATATTTAATATTTTTTCTTCACACAAATCACTTGACTGAATTGATACTGTAGCTATTTTGTTAATGATCTAACATTTATATTTTGTATTCGAAACTTATCGGAAACAAAAACTAACATATTCATATTCATATTCATATAGAACATATCTAATACCAAGTTGCTCAAATTTTAAAATGGAAGAGATTTTAATGATTCCACAAAAAAATGCATATGTAATATTCTAATGACTAGAAATATGTGATCTTCATTGCCAGGTCCTTGATGGCGAGGATGTTAGACTAGCAGATTACTTTGATATAATTGCAGGAACGAGCACGGGAGGTCTAGTAACTGCCATGTTAACCGCTCCTAACAAAAATAACCGTCCATTGTTTGCAGCTAAAGATATCAAACCCTTTTATCTCGAGCACTCATCTAGAATTTTTCCTCAAAAGAAGTATAAATTATACTTTAGTAACAAACAGTCACATTTTATATTAATCTTAGTGATTTTATGACTATATTTTTATTGATGAGCACATATATTTGTATTGGTTTGGAATTGCAGTGGCTTACTGGGATTGGTCGGAAAACAATTGGAATCTGTAGTCGGACCAAAGTACAACGGAGAGTACCTTCACAAAGTTATTAGGGAAAAACTAGGCAAGACTCGATTGGATGAGACATTAACTAATGTTGTCATTCCAACATTTAACATCGAAAATTTGCAACCTATTGTTTTCTCCACATATCAGGTCTACCATTCTTTTCATCATTTCTTAATTGTTTATGAGTACTGATATTTTTTATTTTTTGTGCTATTTCCATCAAAAAACTTGAAACTATAATATTCTAGATGGCTAATCATTATATTTTAAGTATTTACTAGAGGCCTCTCAATCTATTCAAGGGCTTCAACAAAACTTTTAGTTTTTTTTCCAAAAAGAATAATAATAAATTAAAATAGAGTGACCAATTACACTAAACAATTCTCCCAATAATTGCTAACATGTCAATGATTCAAATGGAATCGCAAACACTCATATTGTTGGATATCGTCAGTGTACAGACAAGATTGACTATCGACGATAATATGTCTTGTAGGAAGTCATCAATAATCATCAACTACATTTCGATCTATAGAGAAG